TACTAAACATCCAGTTCATTGCATGGCTTTGTTTTCCCTTTTTTTCTATTTCTTTTTCTCTATACCTTTTCTATTAAATGCTTACATTTCAGCTCTCCACATAGGGTTGGCTGCTTGACTAGTTTAACATTTCCTAATATAATATAATTCTTAAATTAGGACAGGATTTGATTCTGTAATTGAATATGACAGGAGGTTTCTGTAATACTGCTCCAGATTCTCCTGACGGTTTAGTTAACTGAATCATTTATGTTTAGGAATTTATTAATAATGTTTTTGAAATGGTCAAAAAAGCCTTCAAAAAGTGTGAGGGTTTTTACCACAATGTTTCTGAAGGTGTAAAAAATCTTTCCTCAACACTTTTGGCTTGTAGTGACATAAGCAAAAGTACATTTGAGCCCTCTTTGACACACGTCTGCTGTACGTGTATTTAAATGCAATGGTGCCACACAGTGGTCGAAAAGTGGTGTTGCTAATTAAGCATAACACACCAAATCAAGCTAAGTCAGACATGGGTAATGGGAATTAATAGCCTTTATGTCAAAATGTGGAATTTTTGCTCCTAACATTCAAGTCCCCAGAAAGTCCATACTAGACTTGTATAATAAAGGCAAATTCAGTTCAACAAAAAGTACAATGCACACTGTAAAATAGTACATATCAGAATATGATTAGAATGACCAATGGGTATACTTCACTCCCCATATCACAATGAATTTAAAATATAACACTGTGTATAAGTTTCAATATTTCATTTTAATTATTGTCAGACTAGTAACTGCAATATTTCTTTTCCCAATCAATCAATTATTAGAAATAATAATGGACTGACTAATTGACTATGGAAATAATTGCTAGTTGCAATTCATTGCTAGTTGCTATATCTGTTTCAAGCATACAAACTGTACTTACAATCTGCACAGGACAGGGACACATACACACATGCATACACAAAAACACAGTCATGACAGCCATACGTTAAACGCCTACATACTGAAACAAAAGAAGAGAGCAATGAATCAAGCAAAATCTTAAAGGAATTGTTGGCTGAAAAATAAAGTTGACATGATTGTTCCCTCATCCAAAAATGAATCTATTAACCATGACATGCCATGACACCAGGTTAAGCTGTTAAGTAATAAATCAGCAGACCAGTTGAATTTCCCCATTAGCAACAAAACACTACTTTACACCTTCATATGCGAGATTCGGAGCCTGATTGGTGAGACACATAACTATATTAAATCATATTTTGTCAGAAATCCACAAAACACAACAGTTTTAATATTTGCTTTTTCAAAACACCTGAGTACTGAAGCCTGTTTCTTAATTGTGAACACAGTCTATATACAATAAGGTGGCTAGTGCAAATCTGTCTACCCCTGCATGTGGCATAAGAATGTGCCTGTGCCATAAGAAAGATTGTCCTGATCAATTTAGACTGGTTTGTTAACAGAGCAGAAACACTAAACAAAAGCAGTATCACGCTAGCCGCAAGGTAATACATTAGCCCCAAACTAATGCACCAACCCTGATACAATAACACAATACATTACAATATGTTATGATTGGGACAACAATATCAACAATATCATTGTTGATAACATCAATAATTTTTTTTTTTTTGGCAGTGAATCAAGTTATCTGTTAGTTGGCTTAATGATGTTTGCACTTCCCATTTACATCAAGTGACTGAAAGAGGGAAATACAAATAGCAGGATACTGCAGGGTCTTGCAGGAATCAATAGTTAACTAAATAAATAAACTATGAAAACACTTCACTTCCATGTCATCTAAAAAGATGCTTGTTTTTTAGCTTTTTCATCTATTGCTGTGCGCTTGGTTAAAGCACTTTTTATAAAGTATGAATTAGTAAATAGGGTTTTATATGTTTTTATAAAATAACAATAATCATTGTACTTTTAATTTGTTGAATACAATATGATTGCCAGAAAAACTGCAGGTTTTCAATTCCCAACTAATTAATTATTGTTAGTTGCAGCCATAGTTATATATGATACAACACACTCCAAATGGCCTTTTAGCTTTAGTGCAAAACTACAGATGCAAACTTTTTTGACTGACTGCATATGGGCTAAGGGTTAGGAAGAAATTGCACATTTTTTTCACAGAACTATGCTTAGTAGTGTGCAGTTTGGAATCATGACCAACTTGGAAGTGCAGCAGTTTTCCCCTCCAATGGTGCCTTAATGGAGTCACTTCAGGGGTCTAATGAGGAGCAATAAGGCCTTCAGCCCTGAAGCCAGAGCTGTTGCCTGGACACCACATTCACTGTTTGGTAAAGTATTACTCTTTCCACATTTGTTAGATGCATTGTACACATTGTACATGAGTTATCTGGACATTCTACATGTGTTAAGAGTGTTTGATTCTTTGCTTATCCTACAATCTGAAAGTGGCTGCAATAGTGTACAAAATATAAGATAATGTTTTTATCTGAAGTCGCCATGATTCAGCTGCTCTGATAAAGCAATTACTGGCCAGGGGAAACTAGAAATGATCTAAAGTCCTTTCTTGTTTGAGCCATCACAAGGTTTAAACCGTGTAATCAATAACGTTATGTTGCCTTAATGTTAGATAGACAATATCACTGATCTTTTTCTCCAACTTCTGATTTGTAAAAGAGAATAAAGGACTCCCTACCAGTACACCAGTGAAGTAATATGTAAATGGGATCTTCTATCAGAGTTCATGCTGTGGAACCCAATTCCTCATTGGATCTGAAGCTATACTGAACTGTTACAAATGAGCAGTAGGAAATTACAGGCATGGGAAGTTAGTTCTTTCACTAATGTTTTGTAGCAGCAGATGCCACACAACACAGACACAATTTAGTGAACCAAATGTGCAGTTTCAATAACACTTCTCTGTCTCCATATTCACAATTAGGCATGCATTGATACCATTTCTTTTCAGACCATGTGCAAGTATTTTTAGTACTCACTGATACCAAGATGCTATAACAAATTACCTACTTAAAATTAAGTAGTTGTTAATGTAAATGAGTGCAATGTACCTTAACAGTTAAAAAATGAAGTACACTAGCTAACTATGCTACATTAGTTACCTTGGATCGTTTAGCGTTAAACTGGAGAACAGATTTTGTTCCACATTAGAAAAGCGCTTCTGTACAGCTGTAAGTAAACCGCATTTCATAGTTCTGATGCTTCTCATCAGTCTCTTAGAACACCAGTCTCTGTAGCACTTTGATTGCAGGAATCACATCCAATGCTAATGTATCCAAGGCTAATACAACCAACGCTAATGTGTCTGAAAAGCTCACTTGTGGAGTTTTATGTCTTAAGTATTTTGTTTGGCTGGATGAGCTTTAGTTGAAAGTCCTCTGAAATCAGGGACATAATGTGATTTTAGAAAGCTTGTTCTTTGATAAGTCACACTGAAACTTTGAATAGTCTGTTGTTGGTATCAGAGTCTGAGTGAGAGTAATATACGACACTAGTATCCATATCAACGCATCCCTATTCACAATGAAGAAATTATTCTCATCCTTTCCCTGATCTGACTAGAAGCCCTCTTTTGGATTATTTGTTTATTTCTACAAAGGGGAACTTTCTGGGAACAGTACCATGCATTCTTTGCTATGTTTATTAAATGAAAAAACAAATTAACATGGACTGCTCCTTTTATGCCACCAGTGGATCTATGTGCACGAAAGTTTCATGTTTCCTGGGTGTGGAGAAAAACACTCCCAAGAACATTCATGTGTTTCAAAAGTTCTATAGCCCTGTAAGCACTGAAGAAGTATTTGTGATGTATTGGCAAAATGTTTTTAGATGTGTTTTCCAACTTTTCTGTTCATTGCCATCATAAGCTAATACACTATACACACCACACAATCCCTTTATAAAGCAACAGGCTTCAGTGAGAATTTATTTTTTTTGGTAATCTCACTCTGAGGTGCCATATAACACATATTATGGAATTATGGCAGAAATAGCACACATCTATATGGGCTGCAAGAACAGACAGTATAAAATGCCTGTCAAAACATTTGGGGACACCTTGCTGGCTTCTGAATTTTTTCTCTGTTAAATTTCAATTAAATAAGAAAAAAGCCTGAAATTGTTTTGAAAGTTTGAGTATGCAAGATATATTTTAGGTTTTGCAACAATCAGCCATAAAACTTGTATAAAATGCAGGGTTTTTTCAAATAATGATTTTTTTCAAACTATTGTTTAAAATGTGTGGGCTTTGCTATTATTCCCAAGGTAGTATGGTAAGAAATGTGTGGATCTGAAATATGTGTATAACAAACTTTGCTAGTCTTCTAAATGTTACGTTATTGCAAACTCACAAACATTTGAGTTTTACTTTTTCACCACCAACACAGAAGGTGCAATAACATAACATACACTGTCCCCAAATATTTGAGGGGCAGTGTATGTTGTTATATTTTTTCAGCAGCACCAATACAGAGGTGCAACATGTAGTCTGCAGGGGACCGTCAAGCACACCTGCTACACTTGCTGAAGTGTTCCCCTGACACTGAGATGAGCAAAAGCTAATGTTCACCTTCTGCGGTGTAATAATTTTTGAAAGGTTACCAAAGAGCAACGGACAATGGTCAACTCAAATGTTACCTGATAATCCGCAACCCGTTTCGTAAAAGTCAAACAGCAATTCACACCGCATTTAAAAACAAAGGACTCAACTGGACTCAGTAGGATCAACTAGATCTTCAAAAAAGCATTTCGATATTAACTTAAAATACACTATACATATTGAATATGAACAAATGGTTATACCTGTTACATCCAACTCCAAACATCGGAAATAATCTGAAATGTTGCCTAAAACTACAATCTCAAATAGATCTCTGTGAGGCCAAATTACCCAATACTTACAGGAATAAAATCAAAGAAATTCATAACATGGCTACAAATCAACAGCAGCTCGTACACTGGTATGCTGAATGGTTTTTAACAGCTGGCAAATGCGTAGTATCTTGATTGACTTACCGTGTAAAAGCCAATCCTGCACAGTGCTATGGAGAGCCGAATGTGTTCAGACATCGTCCCCGGTAACAGTGTTACCCACAACAACCAAACAAGCTGAGCCAGAGTAATTGAAGAAGGCCGGGAGGAGGAAAAGCTTTCAGGCGCAAAGCCACAAAAGCTACTTTGAGGCGGCCCAGCAAGATATCAACAGGCAGAAGAGGCAGTCTCAGTTTAGATTCTATCAACAGCATAAGAGGAGGAGACCACGCTCCTCATCTCCCATTCATAAACAAACACAGAGGGAGGGAGAGAGAGAGATGGAGAAACAGAGAGCGACAGAGAGAGAGACACAGCAACTAGAAGAGCCATAGATTAGTGCAAAGCTTTCCCCAGAGATTATCAGCTGAGCAGCAACCGTACTCCAAAATAAAACTGTTAATTGGATTAGATACTTTTACGCACCTATGCAACAATGAATGAAACAGAATGACACCAGTAACACTGGTTTGTGGGATGCCACCAAATGTTCTCCGCATTAAGGTCAACCATTACAATCTCTCACATAAAGAAAGTCATGTTTGGTTTGCATTAGCTATTGAGGACTATTTGTATGTTTATGTAGATTGTAATATCACAATCATTTAACATAAGACATATAGTTTTTGTATGTTTTAACATGTGAATGGCATAAACAATCACTATTCCACTTTGATTTTCTAGCAAAATTGTATTATGTTCTATTAAATTCAATGAAACTTATAATTTATGTTTTAATTTATATAACAGAAATAGTAGCAGAAATGGTGATTATTATTATTATTGTTACCGGTTTGTATTATTAATAATAACAATAATCACAACATTTAATGTCCAGTATATCGTAGTATGTGTTAATGTCCTAGTATAAACAATATAAACGAAAATGCGGGCTTACTCTGCTCTGCTTTAAGCTTTAGCTACAGCCGCTTTTCTTCCATCTCCGCCAGAAAACTTTTCCTCAAAAGTTGAATAGTTTCTTGTAAAATGTCTCTCAGCGTTCCGACTGTTTTACGAGGCTGAAGTCGCTTCTCATTCGCCAGCTTCTTGCTGAACTTTCCCGTTCCACCTTAAATTCTGACTGAGGCGCCAAAGGTATATGCAGCACCATTTAAGGTGGAACGGGAAAATTAGAAAGAGAAGCGACTTCATCTTCGCAACTTATTAGTGTTTGACAGTCTCTCGTTGCAGATTTAACATATCAGGAAACCAACTACGTTGCTTATAAATGCGAATAAGTCCATTCGTCTCCAAATGTTCGTCTGTCTTTCTCTTTTCCTTTTCGTTCGCTATTAGCCAAGCGAAACCTCGTTGCTAGGTGACCTGCAGTCTGCACGCCAATTCTCAGTCGTTGAGAAACAGGGCTTTCGCGCTATGTTGCACACGCCCCGTCTCGAAGATATTTTACTGACACAGCGACCCCCGCACCCCAGCCCCTACCATGAGACCAAAACCGAAGTTATAAAATCACTAAAGACAACGGGTAGGACGGCTATAATGTGCCGCGTGGTCATCCATTACCACTGGATCTTATTTCACCCTAACAGCGCATTTTATCGCAGATGAGTGGCAGCAGCGTCTCCAAACAAGAGTAGTGAATGAGAGCTTTCCAGTTCACTTACCACATCACTTCCATTTGTTTTATTAATATAAGATATTGGACATAAATGCATTGTGGAACATTACAAACACTTAGCTTTAAAAGTACCAAGTCCTCAGACAGTAAGAAAATAGAAATCATGTAAAGAAAAAAAAGATGCATCGAGATGCATCGATAATCGTTTTATAATCGCATCGAAGCCCTCTGAATCGTAATCGAATCGAATCGTGAGGTGCCTAGAGATTCCCACCCCTAATTATTACCGTTGTCATTATCATTCTGACAGGGAACACTAAAGTAGTGAATACAGCTGAGCCCCTCTAACAAATAAACCTATATTAACCATTCTACCCTTTTTCTGGATTAAGATTTGTTTGTTTTCTGTTTTATTTTGAACAACATTTTACATTAAAACGCCAAATTATGCTTTATTAACATTTTAGTGACCACTTTATTTTAAATATGAGGCATTAAACAATGCCCTACCATGCTTATATGATTTTTAACAAAAAAGGCACATACAATATTTTTTGTTGCAAGGCCTCAACTGAATAAAGCATGGTACAGTTGCTGGTACAGAGAACTCAGCAGGTTGTCAAAGTCTGACAGATGTCTTAAGCATGAGATCACTACTCTCATATGATCCAATCAACCTCATCTGCATTTGCTATAGGCTATTTGCTTGACTGGCTGAAAACCAACCCAAAAAAATACTACATCAACAAACTCTCTGAGGATGCAAAGTATTTTTTTTAATATTATATTAGTCTGCATAATACAACATTGTTCTGGAAGTATTTTACGAGAACAATGTGGTGTGTGGTAGGACTTCCCTGTGACTTTTTGTGTCACATTTTAGATATTTATTGCCATAACTGGTTAAAAAGTACAATGAAATATTAAAGCAATAAGCCGTGAGAGGGCGTGCTTTACCCTGATTTTCATCATGTGTAGGAGTGTTATTAGGCACAATGCGGACATAAATATTATAAAATAACTTGCATAGCACACTATATAGATAGGAGGGAGCCATTTGAGATTTAGCTTGGGTTTAATGCTACCTAGGACAGAACCAAGACACAGACCTTTGAAGCATGTAATACATTCAAGTGACGTATTCTTTACTTACACAGTTTTACAGTGAATCGTGTTTTAAGCACTTTAACTCAAAGCCTGTGATATTAATGGTGAAGTTTTAGTCTGTTAGCTAACTGATCAGCCTATGTTTAAAAAACTGGGTTCTTACTTCATCAGTACACTTGGTGGTTCATGCAAGCAGTAAAACAGTCAAAGATTACTCTACTAACACCTGGATTTTTCATAACTTACCACAGTAAACAGTACAGAATTCAATTGTTGTGAGGCAGTCATAGGAGTGTGTGTAACCAGTATTTTACAACAGATTCGAACATGGCTCAGCAAATCAGGTATAAGGTCCAGCTATATACTGTTACTATTCTCACACTCCCACACGCTCTGAATACCTTTCCCCACATAAATTTTTTATTCACACCCTGAGAGAATACACCACAAGGTGGCAGCAATGATCTGTAGATTAATGTGCCTCATCCAAAGTTCTAGAGGCATGGATTAGGTTCACATTTATTTGATCAGTGAACCAAACAATTAATTTTGGCAAAGTTTGCTCCATCTAATAATAATGAAACAATTTACAGAAAAATGTAGTTATTGGATTCTTATGAGTTATTGTATTTTGAATAGCTATTTAGCTCACACACTTGATGTAAATGCATGGCCATTCTGTTTACTCAGTCCATTACCATCTCATGATAAACAAATCATTACCACAGGGCTTGCTTCAGTTCATTGCAAGCAATCTCTAGGCCATGTTTTTTCCCATTCTAAAAAAAGGACCAACTAGTGCCTCCATGGGCCAGAAATATAAGATGACGCCAGTCTTATTATAGCTCTGCGTCACGTTAATGTTAAGGTCAAACTCTGACTACCTCAAGCAGCAACACAGCAACTTTCTACTCACTAGGTGCCATGGCTGGAGAAGGAGTTACCCACTGGATCTCATGCCCAGTGCGGCACCAAAGCCATTTTAATAGAGAACTTGAACAGTGTGCAGAAGACCATCAGCTATTTGCCTTGCCTGGACCTGCATGCCAGGAACTTAAAGTGGAGGCTGGAGTTGGGCCGACAGACAGTGATGACGAGGATTCAGGCGAGCCCCTGTTCAGAATACTACTGGACGTGACCCAGTTCAAACCAGAGGATATTCTGATCCAGGTGTTCGAAGGGTGGCTACTCATTCGAGGGCATCACGGAGCAAGGATGGACGAGCATGGGTTTGTATCACGGAGCTTCACCAGGCAGTACCAGCTGCCCGATCAGCAGCTGCAAGCGGGCGACCTGACAGCCATGCTGTGTCATGATGGAATACTGGTGGTGGAAACCAAAGACAGATGGTGGTCAGCGTCTGATTAGTGAAGTCATTATGCTCTTGATCACATTACCAAAAGATGACAAGGGAGACAGACTGCTTGGATTTTTCATCATTGCTGAGCTCTTTGTTTAATCGTTTTGTGATTATATGCAGAGAAGTATTTAAAACAAGGTCAATGTTTTGTATGGTGTGCAAATTATATACTTCAAATTATATATGTGCAACGCTGTTGTTGGGTTTAAAAACTCATAAATAATAGCAAAGACAATAAATGTATGCTTGGCTTTGGCACTGTGTGTTGATCTTATCTCATACTGCCAAAATTCAATGTTACTACCTAATCTCCTCAGTCAAATTGTTTAATTTTTCCTGAAAACCAAGATAAGCATGACCACAAACGAAAAGCTGTGTCACACAAGTAAGCCAAACAACAAACAATTAATCAGTCAATTTCACTCTGAATAGGCATTAACAATTGTTTCACACATTTTTCTTGTAAATCATCTTGTAAATTACTCACTGTTTTAAACAAACTGATCAAACTATGGGTGTCACTATGTTTTTGGAAAGCGCTTGGGACACGGTCAGTCCAAAGAAAAGGAACCACTGTCTGATCAGTGAAAACAGGTGACAATCCTGCTGCATACATTTACACAGGCAAATGTATGCAACAGCCTGGGCACCCCAGTCAAAGTACATGTTTTGATGATTTTTCTAAGAAAAACATACACATCCTCTATGAGAGCACAATTTTGCACCTTTTAATGCATACTTATTGTTTTTTTGTTGAATTTAACATAGTAAAAATTTAAGAAAACATAAAATGTGACCTGTATAAAAGTTATGGGACATTTACTATGTTTTATTTTTTTCAGTATGTTAAATTTAGCAAATAAAAAGACGTTGCGCTCTAAAATTTGCAGAAAATTGCCATTTAAGTTTGTTTAGAGTTTAGGACTTCTTACCTCATTTTAACAACAAAAATCAACAAAACATGTCATTTGACCAGGGGCATTCAAACTTGCACTGTAAGTTGTGCTGAGTCCCCCATCCAAGAGACTCCACATTAAATTCCTGATCAACTACTGTAGCGGGACGTCATCCACAATATATAAAGTCAGTTTGATTCAGTGTTTTTGCTCTATGATTAAAGAAGCTGAAGACTTGTGCTTCATCACTGATGACACGTTAAACCTGGCAATAATGATGCAGTGATAAAGTATAAGAAATGCAGTTGTCACTATATGATCTACACACATATTGAGAAGCCGAGCCGCAGACAGTGACCGTTATTTGTACATTCACTCACTTCAGAGATGAAACAAGACAGTCTGCTATTACAGTTTAAGCTGGTTTTATGTTGGACTGAATGGACTCGGTTTGAAGTTGTTCCCTTGCAAACCTAATATTTACTAACATAAAACCTCACATAACTACCATGTGGGGGCCAAAAATTAACCCAGTCTCCTATTAGCTAGCTACCATATTTTTGCCGTGTATTTCATGTCCTGTATGGCTTTTTTTCCAGAAACAAGCTACTTTATTCCACGTCATCTAATACATTATTTGAAACATCAGTTCATAAACATACAACAACAACAAAGACTATATACTAAATCATTAAAATCGTGTAACAGAATCCATTAAGCTACATCCGACCTTAAAAGGGACAGCTAGAGGGACATGCTGGCTAATTTACTAGTTTCAATAATTAGCAGTAAACAAGTAAAAACAGATAACCATGTAACTTAACGTTACCACTTATTATGTGAGATTTCCTCGCTTGTCGACTGGACAACCTATTTCTCCTTATGGTCATAGCGCATGGTCCAGTTTTTATACAGGTTTCTGTGTCTTATATAATTACACTGTTGATTTTTTAAATACCCTATAGTGCCACCACCACTGTTCGGGAGATCATGTGCACCACATTTAATGGGAACCAAATTTAACCTTTCCTCAAAGTGGCGAGAACAGGGCCGGGGGTGTCAGTAAATGAAGCTGGTCCAACTGAAGTAAACGCTCTGCTTTTTGTAATCTACAATGTTATAGGTATTTTTAAACATGTAAACAAAGACCGTTTTTGAGTTGCTTACATTTTTTCTCTATAGCTGGCTTCCATTTCCTTTAGTCTTTGGTATAAACTGTGTATGGTATGTAGTTTTGTACATTGCGTTTGTGCTGTCTTGTATAACTTACTAGCAAACCAAGCAATCATAAGCTTTAACCTGGCTCCATCAAAAATATTGCGATGTGTGCCTTACAAGTGAATTCTGACGTTTTTCTAAATTCTGCATAATCCAGTCATAAACAAATTCAATACTAGTAAAACAGTGGTAAATCCAAAGATATATGTTTTCATTGGGTACTATGTTGTCTTACAACGCCCTGCGTGTGACTCCCCACCATGAATGGCTTTTAAAAATGTGTTTTATATAAAAAACGTGTCTCAAAAGCATAGTAAAATAATAGCTTTATGTGAGGTATCTTTTAAGGACATTAAACTCTTTAGACGTCTGGTTCCCTTCACCACCGCTGTGAACAATGTTGACTGATTTCTCTAGAATGGTGCTTTTTATATCAAACCGCTCTGGATGACTTTGTTTACATTCTAAGGATTCAATTATGAAAAAGTTTAGAAAAGTCACTGGATTTCCCCTTTAATGGTCTTGGCTTGCGGCCATGGAGGCACGCAGAAGTTCTATTTATCGAAACTGACAGATCAAAAGAATCAGTTTGATAAATTGAATCAAAATTCCCATCACTGCCACATTAAGTAGTTCAATCATATAGTTCGCACTGTAGCAAGAGTTTAGTTACAGGAAGTCCGATTCACGAGTCGCATCGCAGTTCAGTATTATGGACCGGGGCGTAGTGGTCGGTAAATTGTTCGGTTGTGTATGAAGGAGGTGAGAATCAAGTTGTATATGGAGGAAGTGAGAAACAACTCACGTGCGGATAAGGCGAGAATAGAGTTGATTCTTTTCCGTCCTCAGCCAGTGAACGAAAATGAATCGTAAGTTCTATTCACTGAAACGGAGAATTCGAAAGAATCGGTTCGCTAAAGTGACTCGAGCTTCCCACCGCTAGGCAGCAGAAGTGATTCGCGTCGCCTGATTGATTGCTCAGCTCCGCCCTCGATTATCCGGACTGCTGACGCGGGGAGGGAGTTCGTTACTCTGCACTAAGCGAGAAGAAGTCCGAGCGATGGAGACATGACTTCTGAACACCGCTGCTTGGTTTTAACAAAGGCAGCCCGTTGACGGGCTCAGCATAGAAGAGTTCGGCTTTTCTCCAAGCAGGCAGTAAGTTGGGTGCTTTAATTCGCCGTCTCTCGCAGGGAAGCGACAGAAAAAAGGAAAGTGCTTGTGCCAGCAGCTCGGGTTCACTGACGGAGTTTGGGTCTGTTTGCTTGTTCGTTTACCAGAGTTAGCTAGCTAGCTGGGTTTTTGCTAGCGGACTGCAAGGATTTTACGACTCACTGTTTATCGCAGGTGTCTGTTTTTGTAATGGCGCTGCGAGCGAGAGTTTTGTATGACTTTACTTCTGAAAACACCGGGGAGATATCGGTTAAAGAGAACGAAATTGTGACTTTGTACAGCGAGAAAGATATAGAGGGCTGGTTGGAGGGAACGAACGACCGCGGAGAGAGGGGGCTCTTCCCCGCGTCCTACGTTGAAATTCTGAAGAACAACGATAAATCCACATCGTACAACAACAACAGCACTGCTGTAGATGCTTACCAGGGCTCTCGGTATGCCAACATTCCCCCGGGAGGCTTTGAGCCTCCAAACAAAGTTCAGAATCAGGTTGAAAACTATAACAAAACGCCAGCGTCGAGTTTTACAACTTTCTCCGGACCACCGCTACCGTCACATCAGCACCACCAGCAGCCGAGTTACCCAGTAAGCCAGGGAAGTGATGACGACTGGGACGATGATTGGGATGACAACTCCACTGTGGCTGATGAGCCAGGCGTTGTCAGTGGAGGCTTCCATGACTATGAAGGGAACGGACCCTCCACATACAGAGTGTCCACGTCCATGTCCCGGGGTGGAAACGCACAGCAGGCTAAGAGTTCAGCCACGGTTAGCAGAAATCTAAACAGGTTCTCAACTTTTGTGAAGTCAGGAGGTGAGGCCTTTGTGCTTGGCGAAGCGTCTGGCTTTGTGAAGGATGGAGACAAAATCTGTGTGGTGATGGGTCAGCATGGCCCGGAGTGGCAGGAAAATCCATACCCGTTCACCTGCACTATTGATGACCCAACTAAGCAGACTAAATTCAAGGGCATGAAAAGTTACATCTCTTACAAACTGACCCCAACCCACACACAAAGCCCAGTGAACAGAAGATACAAACATTTCGACTGGCTGTATGCTAGGCTGGTGGAGAAATTTCCTGTTATCTCTGTTCCTCACATCCCAGAGAAACAGGCCACGGGGCGCTTTGAAGAGGACTTCATTTCGAAGAGGAGGAAAGGTCTCATATGGTGGATGAACCACATGACTAGCCACCCTGTGCTGGCCAGGTGCGACGTTTTCCAACACTTTCTCACCTGCAGCAGTACAGATGAAAAGGCTTGGAAACTAGGGAAAAGGAAGGCAGAGAAGGACGAGATGGTTGGGGCTAATTTTTTCCTCACCATTAGCACTCCAGTGGCCCCACTTGACCTCCAAGAGGTGGAGAGCAAGATTGATGGATTCAAGGCCTTCACCAAAAAAATGGATGACAGTGTGATCCAAGTCAATGCTACACTCAATGAGTTTGCAAGGAAACAGATAACTGGATTTAAGAAGGAATACCAGAAAGTTGGACAGTCGTTTAAGTATCTCAGTCAAGCCTTTGAGCTTGACCAACAGACATACTCAGTTGGTTTGAACCAAGCAATTGCGTTCACTGGGGAGGCCTATGAAGCCATTGGTGACTACTTTGTGGAGCAGCCAAAACAAGATGTGGACCCAGTGTTGGATCTCTTAGCCCTATACCAAGGACATCTTGCCAACTACCCTGACATCATCCATGTCCAGAAAGGTATTTACTCTAATATTTCCTGTATGTCTGAAATGGTTGGGTTAGTCTAAACCACAGTGGGGAATTTGCATGACACAAGTTGTTTGCTTGGAACCCAGGAGCATGTCAGTGGCCTTGGTTTCAGCAGCCTGCTGTGTCACATGGGCTGTGAGGTGATGTGTGTTTTTCCATTGGTACGTAAGGGGAGTGAGAGAGAATATTGACGTTGTGTACCTTTGACTGAAAAATGCCCCAGCATCTGACATGATGTAGTTAAT